GCAAGTACGCACAAGTACACATATTGAGAAAGGCCCTCTGTGTATTTAAGCCCCGTGTTTCTTTGTGTCCATGTTGCAATCTCCCTTATCCACCGTCATATATGCTGTGTGTTCTGTCTGCCTGTGTAAGATATTTGGATTCTTGGTTTTCTTTGTCTCCGGAGTCTGCACTTTGGGTCCTTTTCCTGCCTGCACACAGCCATTTCATAACACCTACGCCTATTGCAGCATAACTAAGGGAGGATTCACCTACAAACCAGCAAACGTTTAGCAATTTTTTTTTAACATATCATAGAAAGCACAGGTCACGTATGTCGACTGTGACATTTAAAGGGAACAACGCCACTTTAATTCCACTCATCACAAGCCAAAATGTGTGCTGTAAAACAATTTAAACATTTTTTAAAAATTTAATTATTTTTTTTAATCCTGTAAAATGATTAATTGTATGTGAGTTTTGGTAGCTAAAACCTGACCACTCAATTACAACATGTTTAAGAATAAGCAAACACCAATGTCACAATATTTCAAAGAGATTTGGATCTGGCCTTTAACATCATTATTCTGTAACCTTCTGTCCTTCCTTTTGAGACATTTCTTCTTCGTTGTGCTTGTTCAAAAGTCCAGTCAGATGGACTTTCTCATCATTTTCAAGCACAATTTGATAAAATGTAGAATTCCTAGTTGCACTTTTGACTGCTAGAACATTTCTACCACCATTCCTTTGAGTTGGCACGAGGTTTTAATAAAATGCTCTGCTGCAACCACATTAAGTGCTATTCTGTCAATAGAGTTGTTACCATTGCTACTATGGCTAGCTTATCTTTTCTGGATGCTTTAGGGTTGATGTAATTGTCCTGTTACTTGAGTCTCCTGTGAAGTTACTCGTGACTTCAGGTTTATAATTAGGTGTGTGTGTGTGTTTTCAAAGTTAGTCTTATGCTCCTGTGTAGTTGTATCTCACTTCCATTGCTCCTGCTCATCCCAAACAGCTGATGGCCTCTCTTTCTAGAGCCTGGTTCTGCTGGAGTATTTGTCCTGTTGAAAGGGAGTTTTTCCTTCCCACTATCGCCGAGTGCTTGCACATTGTTTTTCATCTGATTTGGGGGTCTTCTCTCCCTTATTGTCGGGTCTTTACCTCACAATATACCGTTGTGGTTTGGTGCTATATGATTTGAACTGAAACAATACACACAGCAGACTATGACATAGGGTTAAGGTTGACTGCATTTTGTGTTTACTTGTGTTGTCTTTGGCTAATATTTAAATGTGTTTGATGATATAAAACATTTAAGTGTGACAAACATACAAAATAATTGGAAATGAGGAAGGGGGCAACACTTTCACACACCACTGTATGTATTTGGATTTCCTCTTGATACATGCTTCCTGGAGGGATAAAATATAAGAGCAAAATGTTTACTATGGCTCAAATATTATAACATTTTTCACAAACAACAGCTTTCCCATGAAATCAAACCACGGTCACTTTAAATGGCCACTTCATCTACCTAAGAGTCTCTCGGCAGGATGTACAAAAAAGAAGCGTTTTCCTTTTCTAAGCTTGTTTTTTTTTTTTTTTTTTCAGGT